ACAACACTCACACACACAACACTCACCCACCCACGCACTCACTCGCACAACTAACACTCACACACACAACACTCACTCACACACAACACTCACACACACACTAACACTCACAACACTCACACACACACAACACTCACACACACACACCAACCCACGCACTCACTCAACTAACACTCACACACACACTAACACACACAACACTCACACACACACTAACACTCACAACACTCACACACTAACACTCACACACAAACACACAAACACACACACAGCAACACTCACCCACCCACGCACTCACTCGCACAACTAACACTCACACACACACTAACACACACAACACTCACACACACACTAACACTCACAACACTCACACACACACAACACTCACACACACCAACCCACGCACTCACTCGCACAACTAACACTCACACACACACTAACACACACAACACTCACACACTAACACTCACAACACTCACACACTAACACTCACACACAAACACACTAACACTCACACACCAACACTCACCCACCCACGCACTCACTCGCACAACTAACACTCACACACAACACTCACTCACACACAACACTCACACACACACTAACACTCACAACACTCACACACACACAACACTCACACACACACCAACCCACGCACTCACTCGCACAACTAACACTCACACACACACTAACACACACACCAACCCACACACACACACACCAACCCACACACACACACACCAACCCACACACACACACACCAACCCACACACACACACAACACTCACACACACACAACACTCACACACACACCAACCCACACACAACACTCGCACAACTAACGCACTCTCAGACATTCCTTCACACAGACACAAAGACAAAGCTGCCCTGTATAGCCCAGAGTGCTGTAGGTGCAAGTGCTGTTCGTGGTGACAGCAGCAGCTGCTGTGAATGTGGGCACTGTGGCACACAGAGGGGGTGGGTGGACAGCCCTCTGGCCCGGCCGCCTTTGTCTCTCCTCCAGTTCTGATGTTTACGACACATCCACCCACACACCCACACACATCACACCCACCCACACACATCACACCCACCCACATCCACCCACACACATCACACCCACCCACACCACATCACACCCACACACATCCACCCACACACAGCACACCCACCCACACACATCCACCCACAGCACACCCACACACATCACACCCACCCACACACACACATCACACCCACCCACACACACCCACCCACACACATCCATCACACCCACAGCACACCCACCCACAAACACCCACCCACACACATCACACCCACCCACACACATCACACCCACCCACACACATCCATCACACCCACAGCACACCCACCCACAGAACACCCACACACATCACACCCACCCACACACACATCACACCCACCCACCCACATCACACACACCCACACACATCCACCCACACACATCCACCCACACACACCCAACCACAGCACACCCACCCACACATCCACCCACCCACCCACACCCATCACACCAATCCACACACATCCACCCACACCCATCCACCCACACGCACCCAACCACAGCACACCCACCCACACACCCACACACACCCAACCACACACTCCCAACCACACACACACCCACCAACACACATCCACCCACCCACACCCATCACACCAATCCACACACATCCACCCACACACCCACACCCATCCACCCACACGCACCCAACCACAGCACACCCACCCACACCCACCCACCCACACCCAACCACACACACACCCACCAACACACACCCACACCCAACCACACAACCACCCACACCAACCCACCCACACCAACCCACCCACACCAACCCACCCACACCAACCCACCCACACCAACCCACCCACCCACACCAACCCACCCACACACACACAGCACTGATAAGCCACATTTACAAAACCACACAATATATAAGGACCTAGCCAAATCCATAGCATAGATAAGCCATGATCTACAAAACCACAGAGCAGATAAGTATGAGCTATCAAATCCATAGAACAGATAAGCCACGCTCTACAAAATCATACAGATAAGGCCCTATACAAATCCATAGCATAGATAAGCAACGCTTTACAAAATCATAAGGGCCGATCAAAATCTATAGCATAGATAAGCTATGGATTTTTGGTTGTAGTAGTGGTATTAGTGAAGGTAGTGGTGGTGGTAGTAGTGGTGGTAGTGGTAGTTGTTAAAGTGGTGGTTGTGGTAGTAGTGGTGATTATAGTAGTAGTGGTGGTTATGATTGTAGTAGTAGTGGTGGTTATAGTAGTAGTGGTCGTGGCTTTAGTGGTGGTGGTTATAGTAGTGGTAGTAGTAGTGGTGGTTGTAGTAGTGGATGTAGTAGTGGTTGTAGTGATGGTGCTTATGGTAGTAGTGGAGGTAGTGGTTGTTGTGGTGGTAGTGGTAGTAGTAGTAGTGGTGGTGGTTGTAGTAGTGGTGGTGGTTATAGTAGTGGTAGTAGTAGTGGTTGTAGTAGTGGTGGTGGTTGTAGTAGTGGTGGTGGTTACAGTAGTAGTGGAGGTAGTGGTTGTTGTGGTGGTAGTGGTGGTTGTAGTAGTGGTGGTGGTTGTAGCAGTAGTGGTGGTTGTAGTAGTGGTAGTAGTGGTGGTTGTAGTAGTGGTGGTTGTAGTAGTGGTGGTGGTTATGGTTGTTGTAGTAGTGGTAGTAGTAGTGGTGGTTGTAGTAGTGGTGGTTGTAGTAGTGGTGGTGGTTATGGTTGTTGTAGTAGTGGTTGTTGTAGTAGTGGTTGTTGTAGTAGCGGTGGTGGTTGTAGTAGTGGTGGTGGTTATGGTTGTTGTAGTAGTGGTTGTGGTTATGGTTGTTGTGGTTATGGTTGTTGTAGTGGTGGTTGTTGTAGTAGTGGTTGTTGTAGTAGTGGTGGTTGTAGTAGTAGTGGTTGTAGTAGTGGTGGTTGTAGTAGTAGTGGTTGTAGTGGTGGTTGTAGTAGTGGTTGTAGTGGTGGTTGTAGTAGTGGTTGTTGTTGTAGTGGTTGTTGTTGTAGTGGTTGTTGTAGTAGTGATGTTGTAGTAGTAGTGGTTGTTGTAGTAGTGGTTGTAGTGGTGGTTGTTGTAGTAGTGGTTGTTGTAGTAGTGGTGGTTGTAGTAGTGGTTGTTGTAGTAGTGGTGGTTGTAGTAGTGGTTGTTGTAGTTGTAGTGGTTGTTGTAGTAGTGGTAGTTGTAGTAGTGGTTGTTGTAGTAGTGGTGGTTGTAGTAGTGGTTGTTGTAGTAGTGGTTGTTGTAGTAGTGGTTGTGGTTATGGTTGTAGTAGTGGTTGTTGTTGTAGTGGTTGTTGTAGTAGTAGTGGTTGTAGTAGTGGTGGTTGTAGTAGTGGTGGTTGTAGTAGTGGTTGTTGTAGTAGTGGTTGTTGTTGTTGTAGTGGTGGTTGTTGTAGTAGTGGTTGTAGTAGTGGTGGTTGTTGTAGTGGTTGTTGTAGTAGTGGTTGTTGTAGTAGTGGTTGTTGTAGTAGTGGTGGTTGTTGTAGTAGTGGTTGTTGTAGTAGTGGTGGTTGTTGTAGTGGTTGTGGTTATGGTTGTAGTAGTGGTGGTTGTTGTAGTAGTGGTTGTTGTAGTAGTGGTGGTTGTAGTAGTGGTGGTTGTTGTAGTAGTGGTTGTTGTAGTAGTGGTGGTGGTTATGGTTGTAGTAGTGGTGGTTGTTGTAGTGGTTGTTGTAGTAGTGGTTGTTGTAGTAGTGGTTGTTGTAGTAGTGGTTGTGGTTATGGTTGTAGTAGTGGTTGTTGTTGTGGTGGTTGTTGTAGTAGTGGTTGTTGTAGTAGTGGTTGTGGTTGTAGTAGTGGTTGTTGTAGTAGTGGTGGTTGTTGTTGTAGTGGTTGTTGTAGTAGTGGTTGTAGTAGTGGTTGTTGTAGTAGTGGTTGTTGTAGTAGTGGTTGTAGTAGTGGTGGTGGTTGTTGTAGTAGTGATTGTTGTAGTAGTGGTTGTTGTTGTAGTGGTTGTTGTTGTAGTGGTTGTTGTAGTAGTGGTGGTTGTTGTAGTGGTTGTAGTAGTGGTGGTTGTTGTTGTAGTGGTGGTTGTGGTTATGGTGGTTGTAGTGGTTGTTGTTGTAGTGGTTGTTGTAGTGGTTGTTGTTGTAGTGGTTGTGGTTATGGTGGTTGTAGTGGTTGTTGTAGTGGTTGTTGTTGTAGTGGTTGTGGTTATGGTGGTTGTAGTGGTTGTTGTAGTGGTTGTGGTTATGGTGGTTGTAGTGGTTGTGGTTGTAGTGGTGGTGGTTGTAGTGGTTGTGGTTATGGTGGTTGTAGTGGTTGTTGTAGTGGTTGTGGTTATGGTGGTTGTAGTGGTTGTGGTTGTAGTGGTTGTTGTTGTAGTGGTGGTTGTTGTAGTGGTTGTGGTTATGGTGGTTGTAGTGGTTGTGGTTGTAGTGGTTGTTGTTGTAGTAGTGGTTGTTGTTGTTGTAGTGGTTGTTGTTGTTGTAGTGGTTGTGGTTATGGTTGTAGTGGTGGTTGTTGTTGTAGTGGTGGTGGTTGTAGTGGTTGTTGTTGTAGTGGTGGTTGTGGTTATGGTGGTTGTAGTGGTTGTTGTTGTTGTAGTGGTTGTTGTAGTAGTAGTGGTTGTTGTAGTAGTGGTTGTTGTTGTAGTGGTTGTGGTTATGGTGGTTGTAGTGGTTGTGGTTGTAGTGGTTGTTGTAGTAGTGGTTGTTGTAGTAGTGGTGGTTGTAGTGGTGGTTGTTGTAGTGGTTGTTGTTGTTGTAGTGGTTTTTGTAGTGGTTGTGGTTATGGTGGTTGTGGTTATGGTGGTTGTAGTGGTTGTTGTAGTAGTGGTTGTTGTAGTAGTGGTGGTTGTAGTGGTGGTTGTTGTAGTGGTTGTTGTTGTTGTAGTGGTTTTTGTAGTGGTTGTGGTTATGGTGGTTGTAGTAGTGGTTGTGGTTGTAGTGGTTGTTGGCAGCAGAGTCTTACTGGCTTTGGCATGGTTGCGGTTGTGTGGTGGTGGTGGTTGTTGTTGTTGATTTGTCTTCAGCTCCCAACAGATGGCCTCTACAGACAGGCAGACAGAGACACGGGTGAGTGAGACACAGGGAGACATCCTGGAGAGAGGGGGTGGAAGGCAGGGGGGACAGGGGGAGACAGGGGGAGACACACCCTGGAGACAGGGGGAGACACACCCTGGAGACAGGGGGAGACAGGGGGAGACAGGGGGAGACACACCCAGTGGAGACAGCGGGAGGCAGGGAGACAAATCCTAGTGGAGACAGGGAGAGACGGGGAGAGTCACGCCCTGTGGAGACAGGGAGAGACAGGGGGAGTCACGCCCTGTGGAGACAGGGAGAGACGGGGGGAGACAAAGAGAGACACCCTGTGGAGAGAGACAGAGACAGACACGCCCTGTGGAGACAGGGAGAGACACGCCCTGTGGAGACAGGGAGAGACAGGGGCAGGAGACAGGGAGACAGAGACGGACCCTGTGGAGACAGACACAGACCCTGTGGAGACAGGGAGACAGACCCTGTGGAGACAGGGAGACAGACCCTGTGGAGATAGGGAGACAGACCCTGTGGAGACAGACACAGACCCTGTGGAGACAGGGAGACAGAGACGGACCCTGTGGAGACAGACACAGACCCTGTGGAGACAGGGAGACAGAGACAGACCCTGTGGAGACAGGGAGACAGGGAGACAGACCCTGTGGAGACAGACCCTGTGGAGACAGGGAGACAGAGACAGACCCTGTGGAGACAGAGACAGACCCTGTGGAGACAGAGACAGACCCTGTGGAGACAGAGACAGACCCTGTGGAGACAGAGACAGACCCTGTGGAGACAGGGAGACAGGGAGACAGACCCTGTGGAGACAGACCCTGTGGAGACAGGGAGACAGAGACAGACCCTGTGGAGACAGGGAGACAGAGACAGACCCTGTGGAGACAGGGAGACAGACCCTGTGGAGACAGACACAGACCCTGTGGAGACAGGGAGACAGGGAGACAGACCCTGTGGAGACAGACCCTGTGGAGACAGGGAGACAGAGACAGACCCTGTGGAGACAGGGAGACAGACCCTGTGGAGACAAAGACAGACCCTGTGGAGACAGGGAGACAGAGACAGACCCTGTGGAGACAGACACAGACCCTGTGGAGACAGGGAGACAGAGACAGACCCTGTGGAGACAGAGACAGACCCTGTGGAGACAGGGAGACAGAGACAGACCCTGTGGAGACAGAGACAGACCCTGTGGATACAGGGAGACAGACCCTGTGGAGACAGACACAGACCCTGTGGAGACAGGGAGACAGAGACAGACCCTGTGGAGACAAAGACAGACCCTGTGGAGACAGGGAGACAGACCCTGTGGAGACAGACCCTGTGGAGACAGGGAGACAGAGACAGACCCTGTGGAGACAGGGAGACAGAGACAGACCCTGTGGAGACAGGGAGACAGAGACAGACCCTGTGGAGACAGACCCTGTGGAGACAGGGAGACAGAGACAGACCCTGTGGAGACAGAGACAGACCCTGTGGAGACAGGGAGACAGGGAGACAGACCCTGTGGAGACAGAGACAGAGACAGACCCTGTGGAGACAAAGACAGACCCTGTGGAGACAGGGAGACAGAGAGACAGAGACAGACCCTGTGGAGACAGGGAGACAGAGAGACAGAGACGGACCCTGTGGAGACAGACACAGACCCTGTGGAGACAGGGAGACAGACCCTGTGGAGACAGAGACAGACCCTGTGGAGACAGGGAGACAGACCCTGTGGAGACAGGGAGACAGACCCTGTGGAGACAAAGACAGACCCTGTGGAGACAGGGAGACAGAGACAGACCCTGTGGATTCGAGGAAGAAGGAAGCGAGAGAGACGGCACTGTACAGAGTCACGTGCCGGGGAATGTACAGAGACACGGGGGTGAGGCAGAGAGACACGGGGGGTGAGGCAGAGAGACACGGGGGGTGAGACAGAGAGACACGGGGGGTGAGACAGGGGGAGAGTGAGACAGGGGGAGAGTGAGACAGGGGGAGAGAGAGACAGTGGGAGAGTGAGACAGGGGGAGAGAGAGACAGGGGGAGAGACAGGAGACACAGGGGGAGAGAGACACAGGGGGAGAGAGACAGGGGGAGAGAGAGACAGGGGGAGAGAGACACAGGGGGAGAGTGACACAGGGGGAGAGTGACACAGGGGGAGAGAGAGACAGGGAGACAAGAGACAGGGAGACAAGAGACAGGGAGACAAGAAAGGAGGAGAGAGACAGGAGAGACAGGGGGAGAGACAGGATGAGAGAGAGACAGGGAATGAGACAGGAGGAGAGAGACAGGGAGACAGGGAGAGACACAGGGAGAGAGACAGGGAGAGAGACAGGGAGTGAGACAGGGAGAGAGACAGGGAGAGAGAGACAGGGAGAGAGACAAGAGAGAGAGACAGGGAGTGAGACAGGGAGAGAGACAAGAGAGAGACAGGGAGACAGGGAGTGAGACAGAGAGACACGAGAGTGAGACAGGGAGAGAGACAGAGAGCGACAAGAGAGTGAGACAGGGAGAGAGAAACAGGGAGATAGACAAGAGAGTGGGACAGGGAGAGAGAGACAGGGAGAGAGACAAGAGAGTGGGACAGGGAGAGAGACAGGGAGAGTGAGACAGGGAGAGTGAGACAGGGAGAAAGAGACAGGGAGACAGGGAGAGACACGAGAGAGAGACAGGGAGACAAGGAGTGAGACAGAGAGACAAGAGAGTGAGACAGTGAGACAGGGAGAGAGACAAGAGAGTGGGACAGGGAGAGAGACAGGGAGAGTGAGACAGGGAGAGAGAAACAGGGAGATAGACAAGAGAGTGGGACAGGGAGAGTGAGACAGGGAGAGAGACAGGGAGAAAGAGACAGGGAGAGTGAGACAGGGAGAGTGAGACAGGGAGACAGGGAGAGACACGAGAGAGAGACAGGGAGACAAGGAGTGAGACAGAGAGAGACAAGAGAGTGAGACAGTGAGACAGGGAGAGAGACAAGAGAGTGGGACAGGGAGAGAGACAGGGAGAGTGAGACAGGGAGAGTGAGACAGGGAGAAAGAGACAGGGAGAGTGAGACAGGGAGAGTGAGACAGGGAGACAGGGAGAGACACGAGAGAGAGACAGGGAAACAAGGAGTGAGACAGAGAGAGACAAGAGAGTGAGACAGTGAGACAGGGAGAGAGACAAGAGAGTGGGACAGGGAGAGAGACAGGGAGAGTGAGACAGGGAGAAAGAGACAGGGAGAGTGAGACAGGGAGAGTGAGACAGGGAGACAGGGAGAGACACGAGAGAGAGACAGGGAAACAAGGAGTGAGACAGAGAGAGACAAGAGAGTGAGACAGTGAGACAGGGAGAGAGACAAGAGAGTGGGACAGGGAGAGAGACAGGGAGAGTGAGACAGGGAGAGTGAGACAGGGAGAAAGAGACAGGGAGAGTGAGACAGGGAGAGTGAGACAGGGAGACAGGGAGAGACACGAGAGAGAGACAGGGAGACAAGGAGTGAGACAGAGAGAGACAAGAGAGTGAGACAGTGAGACAGGGAGAGAGACAAGAGAGAGAGACAGGGAGAGAGACAGAGAGAGACAAGAGAGTGAGACAGGGAGACAGGGAGAGAGAGACAGGGAGAGAGACAGGGAGAGACACGAGAGAGAGACAGGGAGACAGGGAGAGAGAGACAGATAGACAAGAGAGTGAGACAGGGAGAGAGAGACAGGGAGAGTGAGACAGGGAGACAGGGAGAGACACGAGAGAGAGACAGGGAAACAAGGAGTGAGACAGAGAGAGACAAGAGAGTGAGACAGTGAGACAGGGAGAGAGACAAGAGAGAGAGACAGGGAGAGAGACAGAGAGAGACAAGAGAGTGAGACAGAGAGAGACAAGAGAGTGAGACAGGGAGACAGGGAGAGAGAGACAGGGAGAGAGACAGGGAGACAGGGAGAGAGAGACAGATAGACAAGAGAGTGAGACAGGGAGACAGGGAGAGAGAGACAGGGAGAGAGACACGAGAGTGTGTGAGAGTAGCGGGACGAGGGGAGGGAGGTCACCACGCCCAGCAGTAACGGAGCTCACGGCATGCGGCCATAGCGAGACTCTCTCCCTCCTGTCTCTCTCTCTCTCTACTCACTGTCCCCGTCTCTCTCTACTCACTGTCTCTCTAGCCGTGTCTCTCTACTCACCGTCTCTCTAGCCGTGTCTCTCTACTCACTGTCTCTCTAGCCGTGTCTCCCTCCCGTGTCTCTCTCCCCTGTCTCCCTCTCCGTCTATCTCCCCGTGTCTGCCATCTCCTCTCTGTCCGTGTCTACTCCACCTCGTCTGTCTCCCAGTGTCTACTCCACCTCGTCTGTCTCCCAGTGTCTCCCCGTGTCTACTCCACCTCGTCTGTCTCCCAGTGTCTACTCCACCTCGTCTGTCTCCCCGTGTCTCCCAGTGTCTACTCCACCTCGTCTGTCTCCCCGTGTCTCCCAGTGTCTCCCCGTGTCTACTCCACCTCGTCTGTCTCCCTGTGTCTACTCCACCTCGTCTGTCTCCCAGTGTCTACTCCACCTCGTCTGTCTCCCCGTGTCACCCCGTGTCTACTCCACCTCGTCTGTCTCCCAGAGTCTCCCCGTGTCTCCCCGTGTCTACTCCACCTCGTCTGTCTCCCAGTGTCTCCCCGTGTCTCCCAGTGTCTACTCCACCTCGTCTTGTCTCCCTGTGTCTCCCCGTGTCTCCCCGTGTCTACTCCACCTCGTCTGTCTCCCAGTGTCTACTCCACCTCGTCTGTCTCCCCGTGTCTCCCAGTGTCTACTCCACCTCGTCTGTCTCCCCGTGTCTCCCAGTGTCTCTCCGTGTCTACTCCACCTCGTCTTGTCTCCCAGTGTCTCCCCGTGTCTCCCAGTGTCTACTCCACCTCGTCTTGTCTCCCCGTGTCTACTCCACCTCGTCTGTCTCCCCGTGTCTCCCCGTGTCTCCCAGTGTCTACTCCACCTCGTCTTGTCTCCCAGTGTCTCCCCGTGTCTCCCAGTGTCTACTCCACCTCGTCTTGTCTCCCAGTGTCTCCCCGTGTCTCCCAGTGTCTACTCCACCTCGTCTGTCTCCCTGTGTCTACTCCACCCCGTGTCTACTCCACCTCGTCTTGTCTCCCCGTGTCTCCCAGTGTCTCCCCGTGTCTACTCCACCTCGTCTGTCTCCCAGTGTCTCCCCGTGTCTCCCAGTGTCTACTCCACCTCGTCTTGTCTCCCAGTGTCTACTCCACCTCCTCAACCTCCTCCACCTCGTCACTAATCGCCTCTCTCCCTCTCGACCCCACCCCGAGCCTCCCCATTGGCCCACGCAGCGGTGGGGGGGGGGGGACGTCACGCGGTGCCCCCCCCCACCACCACCACCCAGCCAATGGGAGGGGCGCACAACGGGCGGGGCACTCCTTAACCGCGACCAATCAAAGTGCGAGCAAACGCCCGGGCCCCTCCCCTCGCATCCCCCCACACAGCCCCGCCCCTCACACTTCTAACCCCGCCCTTCCGTCAACCCAAATCCCCCACACAGCCCCGCCCCTCGCCTAACGGTTGTGGAAAGCGGAGAGGGGGGGGGCTGCTGCGGGGGGGAGGGGCTACGGGGGATGAGGGGGAGGGGTTACGGGGTGTGAGGGGTTACGGGGGAGGGGCTGCGGGGGATGAGGGGGAGGGGTTATGGGGTGAGGGGAGGGGCTGCGGGGGATGAGGGGTTACGGGGTGTGAGGGGAGGGGTTACGGGGGATGAGGGGAGGGGTTACGGGGTGTGAGGGGGAGGGGTTATGGGATGTGAGGGGGAGGGGTTACGGGGTGTGAGGGGAGGGGTTACGGGTGTGAGGGGAGGGGCTGCGGGGGATGAGGGGGAGGGGTTATGGGATATGAGGGGGAGGGGTTACGGGGTGTGAGGGGAGGGGCTGCGGGGTGTGAGGGGGAGGGGTTACGGGGTGTGAGGGGGAGGGGTTACGGGGTGTGAGGGGGAGGGGTTATAGGGTGTGAGGGGAGGGGCTGCGGGGGATGAGGGGGAGGGGTTACGGGGTGTGAGGCTGGAGGGGTTACGGGTGTGAGGGGGAGGGGTTACGGGGTGTGAGGGGGAGGGGCTGCGGGGGATGAGGGGGAGGGGCTGCGGGGGATGAGGGGGTGGGGCCGATAATTGAAACAAATTAACTTTGACAGCGGCCCTCAAATCGCTGAGGTAAAATAAATAAAAATTGTTTTAAAAAATGTTTTGAATTTGAATAATTAACGCTTAAGAACATTTCTTTTCGCAGTGAACATCTTAAAGCAAACGCATTCTAACACACAAAAAACGAAGCGTTAATAAGTCACAAAAAAGTTAAACCTTGCAGCAGCATTAATAATAATAATGACGGCACTGAAATAATTAATTTTAACCCTCGGGTTTTTTAAAAATAAAAACTGTTCTTAACACATTTTCCCCTAAATTTATGCAAACCAACACACCTGAAGACGACCGTTTGTGTTATGATCGAAACGTCGTGAGAATTTTATTATTGTTTTATTTATATTTTTTTATTATTTTGTTGTTTCCCTTTAACGTGGTGACTTTACCGAAAGAACTAAGATTAACACATTTTCCCCTCTTCTATTATTTTATTAACTTTAAAATAATCCTTTAACAAATGAAAAGGCGGGAATTCTTTCCCTCTTCTCCACTTCTCCTCCACCACCACCACCACGGGTCGCCACAAACGCCTCAGCAAAAAATAAAACAAAAAATTTCCTTCGCCAAAGTCACCACGACACCACGCAGGCGTCGCGATCGAAACGTCGAACTTTATCTCGTCATTTCTTCCGTTAAAACCCTATCGACGTTAACTTAGGACGGGGGGGAAAACGCCACCCACGAGAATAGGAATTGCTTCGCCGTTCACGAAATCTTTCATCAAAAAATTTTCATTTTTCAAAAGTCAAAATTTCAACCCGTACACTTACCTCAGAGAGGACTGCTAAGCCGAGTGGAACGTGAAGAAGCAGAAGACGATGAAGACTTCGATTAGCTTAGGAAGTGAACGAATAATTTAAGAGCAACGTTGAACAAAAAAAATAATTATTCCTAAGCGAGAAATCGTTCGCCGCCTCCACCCCTACTGCTCCTCAAACACCCCCCCCCTCAAACAAACAAAAAAAATTCCTTTGACACGCGAAAAAACAAAATCCCTAACCAACGAAGGTTAATTTTGTTGTTGTTGTTGGTGCGTTTAAACAAACTTAAAAAAAACCGCGGATTAGTTTGGGCTGTTCTGTACGTAAAAAATTTTTTACGAGGAATAATCCGAACGATGCTAATTAACGAGTCAATTAAAGGTAGGTAGGTAGGTGGTGGAGACTACGACGATGATTATGATGATGATGTAGAAGATCGCGAGAAAAAAGGAAAATAATTTTTTTAAACAAAATCTCCAACCCCCGAGGCGACAACTCCCCGCTCCAGATTATTAAAAAAAACTCTTTAAGATGGCCGGGGGGGGGGGGTGACATGACGTCACGCTCGGGCACCACGCCCTGATTGGGTTGAGGGGGCGGGTCGTCGAGGCCGTGAATGCTGCGGTGACGTCATGACGCTGGCATATAACAACAACCGCCATTCGCCAAGTGGCGGTGACGTCACCACGACGCTTGTGCCAGGCTATGTGCACCCCTGAGGCTATCACGTGAAGTGTCAGAACGCCCGCTGGGCAGGAGGTCACGGGGCAGACCCAGCAGGTGCCACGGGTCGACTGACTGAGATGACTGGCTGATATATACATATATACATACACACACACCAGAGGGCGTGACTGAAGCGATGACGTAATTTATTTTTATTTCAGTTTATTTATTTTGGTATTTTTTTTTTAAACAAACAAAATAAACACGAACGATAAAAAAAACCCATCTTAAAGTGGCCACGTGTTGACTGTGCAAAACGGAAAATCCATGAAAAGAATAACGGCAAAAAATATTCTGATTTTAAAGCGCTCGTGACTGCAGCGATTCACAATTCTTTGGTTCTTTCGGGGAAAGGTCACGTGACTTTACCAACATATTCCTGAAAAAAAAAAGCACCGTACACCAACAATAACGACCACAAGAAAACTTAGATTCAGGCAATCAGCCTAACTCCGTGCTACAACAAAATAAACCACGTGTCCAAACCAAAAAAACGCGTTTTCCAAATCACCAAAAAATAAACCCGCGCAAAACACTCCGTGGAAGTGACACTGTCCGCGCTGTCAAGCGATGACGTCATATCGCCACTCACACAATCCGTGAGGCAGTGACTGTACCGCTGCGTGCCGAGATGACGTCATATCGCCACCCACGCGACCCACAGGCGAGTAATTCTATGCGCCCTGTGTGGCGCGATGACGTCATGTCGCCGTCCACGCAACCCACCAACAACCACCACCACTAACCACTCAGCCACCACCACCACCCCACCACCACCACCACTCCACCACCACCACCACCCCACCACCACCAACCTACCACCACCAACCCACCACCACTTAAACACCACCACACAGCCACCACCACAACCACACAGCCACCACCACAACCACTCAGCCACCACCACCACTTAAACACCACCACTCAGCCACCACCACCAACCCACCACCACCACCCCACCACCACCAACAACCCACCACCAACCCACCACTTAAACACAACCACTCAGCCACCACCACCACCCCACCACCACCACCCCACCACCACCACCCCACCACAAACCACCACCACTTAAACACCACCACTCAGCCACCACCACAACCACTCAGCCACCACCACGCATCACCCACCACCACCAACACACCACAAACTACCACCACCACTTAAACACCACCACCACCACTCAGCCACCACCACAACCACTCAGCCACCACCACCCATTACCCATCACCCACCACCACCAACCCACCACCAACCCATCACTACCACTTAAACACCACCATAACCACTCAGCCACCACCACCACCCAGCCACCACCACCACCACCCCACCACCACCACCCCACCACCACCACCCCACCACAAACCACCACCTAAACACCACCACACAGCCACCACCACAACCACTCAGCCACCACCACAACCACTCAGCCACCACCACAACCACTCAGCCGCCACCACCCATTACCCACCACCCACCACCACCAACCCACCACAATCCACCACCAACCCACCACCAACCCACCACTACCACTTAAACACCACCACAACCACTCAGCCACCACCACCCATCACCCCACCACCACCCACCACCAACAACCCACCACCACCACCACTTAAACACCACCACTCAGCCACCACCACAACCACTCAGTCACCACCACCAACCCACCACCACCACCACCACTTAAACACCACCACTCAGCCACCACCACAACCACTCAGCCACCACCACGCATCACCCACCACCACCAACCCACCACAAACCACCACAAACCACCACCACCACTTAAACACCACCACCACTCAGCCACCACCACAACCACTCAGCCACCACCACAACCACTCAGCCACCACCACCCATTACCCACCACCCCACCACCACCACCCCACCACAAACCACCACCACCACTTAAACACCACCACTCAGCCACCACCACAACCACTCAGCCACCACCACGCATCACCCACCACCACCAACCCACCACAAACCACCACCACCACCACCACTTAAACACCACCACCACCACTCAGCCACCACCACAACCACTCAGCCACCACCACCACTCAGCCACCACCACCCATTACCCACCACCCACCACCACCAACCCACCACCAACCCACCACTACCACTTAAACACCACCATAACCACTCAGCCACCACCACCCAGCCACCACCACCACCACCCCACCACCACCACCCCACCACCACCACCCCACCACAAACCACCACCACTTAAACACCACCACACAGCCACCACCACAACCACTCAGCCACCACCACAACCACTCAGCCACCACCACAACCACTCAGCCGCCACCACCCATTACCCACCACCCACCACCACCAACCCACCACAATCCACCACCAACCCACCACCACCACTTAAACACCACCACCACCACCACTCAGCCACCACCACAACCACTCAGCCACCACCACCCATTACCCACCACCCACCACCCACCACCACAATCCACCACCAACCCACCACCAACCCACCATCACCACTTAAACACCACCACAACCACTCAGCCACCACCACCCCACCACCACCACCCCACCACCAACCCACCACCAAACCACCACCACCACTTAAACACCACCACCACCACACAGCCACCACCACAACCACTCAGCCACCACCACCACCCACCCACCACCACCACCACCACCCCACCACCACCACCCCACCACAAACCACCACCAACCCACCACCACCACTCAGCCACCACCACCCACCACCACCACCCCACCACCACCACAAACCACCACCACCAACCCACCACCACCACTCAGCCACCACCACTCGGTGACAGCAGCGATTATCTGAACCGGTAGCTAGGTCGACACAGCTTTGTCTGTGTCTGTGTAACAGCACTTGCCCCTACAGCCCTGCTAGAGGCTACCTGGGGGAGCTTTGTCTGTGTCTGTGTGTAACAGCACTTGCCCCTACAGCCCTGCTAGAGGCTACCTGAGGGAGCTTTGTCTGTGTGTGTGTAACAGCACTTGCCCCTACAGCCCTGCTAGAGGCTACCTGGGGGAGCTTTGTGTGTGTCTGTGTGTAACAGCACTTGCCCCTACAGCCCTGCTAGAGGCTACCTGAGGGAGCTTTGTCTGTGTGTGTGTAACAGCACTTGCCCCTACAGCCCTGCTAGAGGCTACCTGGGGGAGCTTTGTGTGTGTCTGTGTGTAACAGCACTTGCCCCTACAGCCCTGCTAGAGGCTACCTGGGGGAGCTTTGTCTGTGTGTGTGTAACAGCACTTGCCCCTACAGCCCTGCTAGAGGCTACCTGAGGGAGCTTTGTCTGTGTGTGTGTAACAGCACTTGCCCCTACAGCCCTGCTAGAGGCTACCTGGGGGAGCTTTGTGTGTGTCTGTGTGTAACAGCACTTGCCCCTACAGCCCTGCTAGAGGCTACCTGGGGTAGCTTTGTCTGTGTGTGTAACAGCACTTGCCCCTACAGCCCTGCTAGAGGCTACCTGGGGGAGCTTTGTCTGTGTAACAGCACTTGCCCCTACGGCCCTGCTAGAGGCTACCTGGGGGAGCTTTATGTGTGTAACAGCACTTGCCCATACAGCCCTGCTAGAGGCTACCTGGGGGAACTTTGTGTGTGTGTGTAACAGCACTTGCCCCTACAGCCCTGCTAGAGGCTACCTGGGGGTAGCTTTGTCTGTGTGTGTGTAACAGCACTTGCCCCTACAGCCCTGCTAGAACCTACCTGGGGGAGCATTGTCTGTGTGTGTAACAGCACTTGCCCCTACAGCCCTGCTAGAGGCTACCTGGGGGAGCTTTGTCTGTGTCTGTGTGTAACAGCACTTGCCCCTACAGCCCCGCTAGAGGCTACCTGGGGGAGCTTTGTCTCTCTCTGTGTGTAACAGCACTTGCCCCTACAGCCCTGCTGGAGGCTACCTGGGGGAGCTTTGTCTATGTGTGTAACAGCACTTGCCCCTACAGCCCTGCTAGAGGCTACCTGGGGGAGCTTTGTCTGTGTGTGTCTAACACTGTACTTGCCCCTACAGCCCTGCTAGAGGCTACCTGGGGGAGCTTTGTCTGTGTGTGTCTAACACAGCACTTGCCCATACAGCCCTGCTAGAGGCTACCTGGGGGAGCTTTGTCTGTGTGTCTCAACCTTGGGGAAGACCCACCAACGCCCCCTCCATGTGACGTCACGACGTACGCGTGCGCGATGACGTTTACGACCACACCCCGGTGCGCGATTGCGTCGTCACGCAAGCGGGGTCGCCACCACCAACCCTCAAGTGCGTGGATGACGTCACGAAGCAGAAGAACCCAAATGACGTCGGGCGCGACCAACCAGATCAATCAGAGCCCCGATGAGAGGGGACGGGGAGGGTGAATGACGTCACGCCATATAAAAAAAATTCCCGCGAGGAGCGCGAGACAACCCCTACCCCCCATAGGCCCATGCCCCACCCCCCCTGTCTACCGCCGGCCAATCAGATTGATCACAGTCGCGATGAGGGGGGGTGTATGACGTCACCCTATATATAATTTTCCCGCGCACGGCGCGAGACAGACGCGAGCCCCCCGCCCTTCGTAAGCCTCCCCCCCCCCACCACCGGCCAATCAGATTGATCACAGCCCCAGATGAGGTGGGTGGGGGCTTGTGTGGGGTATATGACGTCACCCTATATATAATTTTACCGGGCGCGGCGCGAGACGGCCCCAAACGCCCCCCCCCCGACCACGCCCATCGTGAACCGCCCCACCCCCATCCCGAACCGTCCGGGCCAATCAGATCGGTAAAGGGTGAGAGAGGGAGGAGGGGGTGATTTGGGGGGGTGTATGACGTCACACCGTGTTGTGTTTTTTTTGTCGCGCGCGCTCGGCGCGAGACAACCACCCGACCCCCTCCAACTCAGCCCCCCCCCCTACTACCTCCAGCCAATCAGATCGATCACACCCGCGATATGGGGGGGGGGAGCATGACGTCAGCCTATATAACTTTTTTCCCGCGCACGGCGCGA